AAATAGACCCAAATCCTTTATTAAATCTTTTATTGAAACCTGGGAGGGACCTGCCATAGATAGCTGACATTCTTTTGCTTTCTACCTGTAGGAACTTCCAGCCCCTTTGCTTGATGATACTTCCAGAAAGGAGTTGGAAGAAGGAGCAGCAGCTGTTCATGCTGAGGATTTTCAGGATTCTATGAAAATAGCCTGGCGCTACCAAAATTTACCAAAGATGGAGGTAATCACTGTTTCCTACTATTTTCTGTTGCACTCAAAATGAATATGAAAAACAAATGCTTTTCAGTAGAATCTGGACAACAGAACTCTGCCAACGGAGTGTTACAGAACTGCCAAAGGTAAGTCATTATACACCATTATATTTTTGGATTGCTAGAGATACAGAGAGAAAGGGAAATGGAGAGTTTGCAGGAAATGGAGAATTAATAAAGACAACAATAATTTAAAAATAAAAATATGAAAGTTCCATGGGATTTTTCTATGAGGAAACTTTTTATGGAAGTTCGACTAATGTGCTCACTTACAAACTTTGCCCAAATTTAGCTGTAAACAAATGACTTAAGTAGGTTTAATCAGCACTACTTACTAGGTCTGTGCAATGGAAGCACCGTGCTGAAACAAGCTGCTGACCTGCTTATCCATGTGCATAACAACTAAAGTAAGCACTTGAGATTGTATCAGCTTCACTGTCACCAGAAACTAATCACTGTGCTGGGAGAATGTAAGAAACAAGCCCAGTGGTCAGTGTGTCAGGTTTACAGTTAGTGTTTTGTGGCTAATCAGTCTCCCATGGCTGGTGACTTTCTTCTTTAATCCAGTGGCACACTCAGTCTTTAACAAAATTACAGCAGTTTTGGCTATCCACAACAAACCTCTTGTTTTGTCTATACATCTCAGCCTACATCTCTGAATTCTGCTTTAGATCTAGTCATACCTGCCTAGTAAGTTCAGTCATATTCTTAAAAACATAATTGGAATGTGACAAAATGATCTTACAAGGCTTGGCATGTTTGGTTTTCTGTGAAATTGGACAGACATGGCTGTATAGTTGTGTCAGAAAAGACTTATATATGGTGACATGCCAAATCAAACAGCCTCCAGGGTAATCATATAATCTCATCAATTTTATTATTGTGGAGCTGGCTGTGCCACTCTGAGCCATCCCCAAAATAATTTGCCTGTTTTAAAATCTAGCAGAGTTCCCCACACATTGGTATGGAAACAGTTGCATGTTGTTAACAAATAGTGTTCTGATGTTCTAACAAAATTGAAAAAAAAACAACCATTAAAAACTCCAGTTAGGTGTCTACTCATCTTCTTTAACTTCATAGAATTAAACACTTCTCCCACTAATGTAATATTGCTCTAAAATCCATAATGGACATGTCCTCATTTATTACAAGATATGATAAAATGGTCAATCTTTTGTGAGGTGTTTCCTTTTTGAATTGGGTGCTGATCTTTCTCCATACTTGAGGCATAATATTTGTATATCTGTGTTAAGCTTACTAAGAAATTAAAACACAAAAGTCTAAATCTCAAACTTCCTATACCTAAAATTCCTCAGGGTATTCTGATTAGGGAAAAATTGGTCTGAAATTCATGTTTTATAATGCGTTATCATAAAATTTTGGTGCTGTGCTAAATGATTGGTGGATTTAATCCATTGAGGAAAAATCTGAGGATGCCTTGGAGCCCCTGAATTTTAGTACACTTAGTACTGTCATTTAATTAACAACTTTGGTTGTGATTTATTCTTCACATTTTCTTTTGGTTGAATAAAACCAAAGTTGGATAAAATTTCAAGGTGTATTTTCCAAACTGATTGAACTAATGTACTGGTGCATTTTCAAAAAGTGCTGTCAGATAGTTTCAGGTATGAAAGAGAAAATAGCCTTGCATAGCTAGAACTCTAACCATGGCTGCAGAAACTCTTCCATCCACTCTCTGGCTGTATACGAAGTAACAATGCTGAGCAAAAGCTGTTTGTGGTATTTTTGATGCTTAATTTAGTTATTATTTCTAAGTAATAACAGATTTTGATGGATAGTTCAGATATTCCCTTTGTTAGAGGGCATACACTAGGTAGGTAACTCATTTTTGTTCTGATGTTCTGTATGTTTTTATTCTTTATGTTGGTGCTCTTAGAGCTGTCAGAGTTTCTCTTTGCATATTGCCTGTACCTTGTACACCAGGGAAAGGGAGAAGAAGTATGAGAAATGTGCTGGATGTGCCTTTGCCAGTTTGTTGCTTACATCTATATCAGAGCTTAGTTTCAGTGAAACTTTTGGGCATCCACAGAGCCTATTTTGCAGTGCAAGACAGTGTGGTTTTTTCTTCCTTTCTCTTTTTTTTTTTTTTTTTGAATGAACTGCTTATGTTCTTGGGGCAATATATAAACTGTCACAGCATGAAATCAATTTTCTGCCTTGTTTCATCCTAAATCTGAGATTTCTAGCACATTAGTATTGCAATTAGAAACATTAACAGCAGACGGTAGCATAAAAGCACACTCTGCTCACTGACAATTGAGTGTATTTCTCCTTGTGCAAACCAGGGACCCAGGAAAGAACTGGCTGGAGCCTCCAATCCACTAATAAATTTATCAGATCAAACTGGAGAGGAATGGCAAGGCTCTGCTTCTCACCCTCCATGGCCGTTCTGCTAAGGCAGATTATTCATGCTTACTTGATTCAGGTAGGCTTTTTGCAAGCTTCCCTGCTAAGCCTGGGAATGCAGGACATTGAGGGCTATTCACAGGCTCCTGACATAGACCCAGCTTTTATTGCATGGTGGTTTATTACAGCCAAATCCCAGTCTCCACCCAGTTTGTAGGCACTGTGCTTATTCTTTTGAATCCAGAGAGGTTATCACCTACCTTAATCCATGCAGCAGGGTGGATTAAGGACACCAATGTGCCTCAAGATTCTCAAAGAGGATCCTGGAAACTTCTTGTTTCTTCTTTTTTGCTGTCTTTACTAAACTCCATTGGGCCTCAGTAAGGATTTGCATCTGAAATGGGCAACCTGGAGCTTTGCTCAATGAAGACATCAGATCAAAGTTCAGTTAGTCAAGGCCTTTCTAAAACATTAAGGGGGCTTGGAAGTACACAATAAAAAGATGAGCTCTGGCAGAGATTGCAGTAAAAACATTCTGATCTGTAATCCGGATAAAGAATAGATTATAGGCCAAAGAACAGCCCCTGTTTAAATTGCTTTCAGAATCCTTGTTTTAAATAAAGTTACATTTTGCAATAAAAATATTTGAATGTTGATAGAATGTTATGTTTTCTTGGGCTTCCTACTTTAAAAATCAGGTACCAGGAGATAAATTGGAATGCTGACTTAGAGAATGTGGTTTCTATCTTTCTTTTTTTTTTTGAGTAAAATTGATCTGTCTCTTATGACTGGATATACATAAGCAATTTATGTGTGTTTCTGTTAGTTAAGAACTATTTGTTTCAATGGTAAGTTTAGCTTTAGTTTGTTCTATTGTTTCTGTAGGAAGTATTATTGTTAGTATTTATATTCTCTGAGAACTGACAAGGCCTACTGTCTATTAATCAAATAGTTTCAAAATATTTACCCTAAATATAATCCTTCTAATTAATCCTTACAGTCTAATATATTTTTGGTAAGCTGAAGCATGAAAGAAAATTGTAGAAATGCATAGTATGATTGATTTCAGAGGGCTAAATATAAATACAATGTCTGGCAGGTCTGTAATCTTTGTATTCTTTGGTACTTATTTAATTGGCAAGACCAAGGTTTATGAGAACCACAAGCTTCTGTTCTAATTGGAGTTGGAACCAAATAATTTGTTCCTCAACACACAAAAAGTAACTGGGCTCCCATTGTGGTTAGAATTCAATATACACCTACTGTCATCCCTGTGTAGAGCAAGAATAGAGGTGGTGGAACTGGAGCAGAAGTTGGTCCCAAGAAGTTGGTCCCAAGAAAAGAAGTCCAAGAAGTTGGTCCCAAGAAGTTGGTCCCAAGAAGTTGGTCCCAAGAAGTTCCATTGCATACATACACAGCCCTGCTCAACTTCCAGATAGCACATAACATGTATAAGAAAAATCCTTTTGTAGAATGCTCTGTTACAGAACCTACTGAGAAACTTTTGAAGTGAATGGGGATATTTCTGCTCACTTTTCAACAGTAATCCCAATAAACCAAATAGAATTTTATTTTACCTACCAATCCAAACTGTTCAGTTCCTATAGCAGACAGCTACTTGAATATAGCATTTTATAGCAATCTAGAGGGTTTTTAACTTCATATGTGTAGCTCAAATAATGTTGCAGGTTCCATGCTGAACTCCATTCATGTGGAACAAACCTAGGCATTCATTTCCTCTGGGGACTAGCAAAATGTGCAATTCCTGCCCAGGTCTATGTTAAATTTGGAGGGTTTATGATGTTTCATTTACCCAAAATTGAGAGCTGAGGAAAATGTGTCTTCATTATGGTAAATTTTAGTTATTGGATGTAGTGCTCAACCTGCTATTTATTTAAATTTCAATACATTCAAAGTGGGTTTTAGCTATTTCCTATTTTTCTGTTAAAATCAGCTATATGAAAATGCAATGGTTTGGGGTTTTTTAGTGATCATAAATAAAGAGAAACATTTTCAAATCAGGAGAAATTCTTTCTCTAGTGCCATAGATTGCCCAGAGACTGACAAATGAGTGAGGTGGAACATGTGGTGGTCTAAACATTTCATAGATCTTTTGAAATTGGTCATCATATGCCTAGGACACATACCAAAATACATTCTTTGAAGTATCTCTCTGCACTTTGGTGATGCTGGTAAGGGTTGAATTCTGTGTGAAAAATTCTCATTCAAGAATGCCAACAGGGGGACAGAAAACTCAGCAGTAAATATTATTTCTTTTTCTAATTGCAGATCTACTTAAGCTGAATGGAAAAAACCACAGAGGTTTCTTTCAAGTGTATTGCTAGTTAATTGTTTCCTTTTGACAGATGATGTAGCATGTTATTGATGTCAGTACTGTTGTTTCCACAGACCAGCCCAACAACATCTACCAAGTTTGGCCACTATTATGATATTTCTAAAACAATGTCTCCAGAACTGACACAGTCCATAAAATGGCACAGTTTTTATCCTCCTGAAGAATTATCTTCTCAGCCCACAATGAAACCATGGTGAGTTGTAATGCCACATGCTTCTGTTGTGTGTTTAGGCTGTGTCTGCATATTGGTTGTAAAGGCTGTTTTTGCATCTACACTTGCTGTGGAAAAAATCTTGCAGCCACACATGGCTCAGCAGCAGTTCAGCTGTGCATGGCCTGACTGGCAGCAAAGCTGCTGTGGCACAGAGACAGCTCAGGGTACTGACTCCTCAGCTGTGGGAGGAAGCAAGTTGGCAGTGACAATTAATGCAGACAGTACTAGGACAGCCTAGGACACAGCTGCATGTTCAGCCTAGCCCTACTGACAGCTGAGTGTGGAGACTGGGGAAAACTGTGTGTCTCTGTCTGAGCACCATGCCCCATCAGCTTCCAGAGCTGTGTGTGCCAGGTAGCTATCAGTCTTGGGGAGATATCTCCACAGTTTTAGGGCTAAGAAGACAGGCCATCCTTGACCTACATAGCTTAGAATGCTATGTCAGATTAGTTTATTATGTGCTTTTACTTCTTGCATCCTACAGCTTCACCTAAGGAAAATACAAAATACTGTGAATAAAATTACAATTGCTAATTATCTCTTACAAAACATTTCCTGGTCAAACTCTTCTCTGAATGAATAACTTATTATGTTTATGTCTATCAGTAGTGAATTAAAGGAAGACAAGAGAAAATGAGTGACAGTAGCACAGTCTCATATTAGCCTGTAGACTCGTGTCCATTGTATCTTTCTTGGAGGCATTTCAAGTCAAGTCAAGCATCAAGGATGGGCTTGCAATTTTTTTTGCCCAGCCCAGTCACTTAATTTCTATACTACCTAGTTTTATAGATCCCAGTGTACAGGGCCAACTCCTGGAAGTGGTAGTTTGCTTCTCTGTGCTTGATTTTCATTACAGGACCCTCAAATATACAAAGTCAGATTGATGAAAGGAGTGCAGTGTGAAGCTCCTTTCTCAGAGCTGTGGGAAAGCAAAAGCCAAGACTCTTTCGTGATGTGTTTCTGTGTTACATGATCAAATGTCACTGCTTTGTAAAGTAAATGCTTGTGATGGTGTAAAAAAAAAAAAGGAAAGAACGCTTTTAGGAGAAAGCAGAGAACTTCAGTTTTATTCTCTCTGTAGTAAATATTTGAACCAGCTTTGTTTATATATTATGTATAATTACTATTTTTTAGCAGCAGAGCAATAGAGGATAGACATAAGAATATCTGACAGGTTGTAAGTGTTGATGTTATCATTGAGCAATTTATCTCCTTTCTGTCTTTAGCTAACTAGAATGTCTTGTGCCTTGGATTTATTCCACTAACTATGTGGCTGTTAAGTATTTGTTCATTTTACATTAAAATCATATTAAATCATAGTATAGGAAATGGACTTAAACTTTTATGCTTTTGATTTTGTAAGCTTTCTTTAATGCTGAGACTTTCCTTGTGTGCTAGCCTGAGAAAAGTTCATCTTTCTTACTGCATAAATTCTATTCTTATTTTTAGTTTTAATCTAACAGAGAGGTTAGATTTATTTAATTTACTTGGCAAATTGGTAGAGCACAGAGGTGAGGAACGTGATCAAATAAGGATAATCTCCTTTTCCTCTCCCTGCACCCTCAACATGGGTGTCCTTCAAGAATCACAATTTAAGGGTTGTTGTGGACCTTACAGATCATCTAGTCCCAACCCCTGCCCTGGGCAGGGACACCTCCTCACTAGATCAGGTGAAGAAGAATTATAGTGTTGGGAGTAAAGGCAGAGGCCAGAGTAACAGACAATCACCACTCCAAGCATCAAGACCATGTGGTAAGGAATGGGGAGGAATAAAGAACACTGAGAATAGTGAACTCTTAGAAATCTGTGGGAACCAAGAGTTGTCTGCATCTCCTTCCTGATTTATAGGAAATCAGTCATCTTCTAACTGATTGTTGTCTTCCCTGACTGCAAACACTGCTGGTTTGGGATTCCCTGTATTAAAAAGATTGCACTAGATCAGTGTTAAGACAAGGTGGGAAGAAATACTTTTCAGAATTGCAGCCTCTGTAATAAAGCTTAAGAGAGGAGGATGGAAGTTCATGGAGAAATCAGAGCAGTGTTCTGCAGCACATTAAAAACTGACATACAGAGGGTATAACTGTTTTCTGCAGTTGTGGGCTACTGTAAACTGTAGTGGGAGAAATGCAGGCTGCAGACAAGATGTTTTTTCCAATGATTAACACAAGAAGTTGCTTTTCAGACATGGGTTGGGAGTATTGCAGAATCTCCATCACTGAAAATTTCTAAGGACAAGTTAGGTAAATATCTGTCAGACCTGTTGAGGTCCTTTTCATCCCTGTCTTTGTTATTCTTTAATAGACATTAGTCAGGATGTGTTAAATCCAATACTAAATATGAATGTCACCAGTTACTTCACTGCTCTCAAAAACTTAAGGCTTTTGCAGCAGCCCAGCAGATTGTACTGTAGTTTTTTACAAATATGGTGATGACATTCTGAAGGAAGCATTCTTTTCTCAAGGAAGGGGAAAAGCTCAGGATGATTTCATTAAAGAAACTTAGATGCATAGCCAAAAAAACACCTGATCACCTAATGCTAATTACCTATGTAGCATTGCAAAGTCTTTGCAATCTGTTAGGCTGATGATACCTCAAAAAAAGTACTGAAAGCCTGAAAGGAAATCAACACAGTTAACAAAATGACTTGAAGTTCAGAAAAATCTCTAAAAATATGATATTCCCTCAATTTATCGAAAGAAGATTGACAGAAAACCTATTAATACTGGAAGCTGACAATTCCTACAAAAATCAGGAGGCATTTTAAGGAAGTTCATTACTGAAATAATTTGCATTATAATTATATATAATTTATACTAATCCTCTATATATTATGAGATGTTTGCAAAATATTTCATGACTTGTTAAAGGCTATAATTTCTAAGATATGTATCAATAAAGGCATTTCTGAATGAAATTTTCTCTGAAATTGTGTAGGAGTGCAGACCAAAATCAGTGGTGTGTTGTGAGGGGCTCTAAATCTGAGAATGTTTTGCTTTTGTCATTGAGCCAGAGTTTGAGGAGGAAGTGGAAACGAATAGTTTTGCCTAGTATATAGTTTTCCAGAAGTAAATTTTAGTGCTGTTGAAGGATGATGCCTCTTTATAGTATCTGATGATGTCCTCCCTGTGAGGACAGGCTAAGGGAGTTGGGGCTGTTCAGCCTGGAGAAGAGAAGGTTGTGTGGAGACCTCAGAGCAACTTTTCAATATCTGAAAGGCCTACAAGGAGCCAGAGAGGGACTCTTTGTAAAAAGGACCAAATCATCCTCATGCTTCTAATTCTCCAGCATCACGTTAAGAAACCCACTTGGTTCAAGCTGTTCTCCAGTGAGTGAACTGGCTCTGTAATTGTAGCCAATATCTGTTGTGAGGTTATTGCTTCCCTTGCAGGATCAGAGATCTGGAGACTTTGTATGGCCCAGAAACTCTTGGCCCTTTGGAGAAATCATGTATATTTATACCTATGTCCCTCTCTTGTTATCCACACAAACACTTGGCTTCTTTATGGACTTGGAAAGGTGATTGACTGATTAGATGAAAACTGATTTCTTACTTTCCAATTAAAGATCAGCTTTGGAGGTTATCAAGGTCATTTGCTCACCTTAAAGTTTGGATCAGTCTTTTTTTTTTTTTCTTCCTTTCCTGTGTTTTTGCACACGTGTGTGTCCATCTTTTGATGGAGGGAGGAGTGCTGTGTTTGCTCTCCTTGCTGCACTTCTGCTACCTGGTGGCTAAATTAGATCACAGGGTCCCTTTTTGGATAATCACTCAAGATGGATAGAAGTTCATTGTCCCATGAGAAGCATTAATTGAAAACAGATTGAGCAGCCTGTTCTCCTAAAGGCAGTAGTAAATGGGGCTGGGTGTTTGGTGCCAAAAGGAGACATAAACCTCCTCATTCTTATCTCGTTTTTTATGTTAGGGAAGGGCAGTTCTGTCCTGGTGCTAATGCTGGGACCAGGTTAACAGGGTTGTGTGGCTGACAGCAACTGTTTCCTGGCTGTTGTTGCTAGGATATTCTGGTGTCCTTTTGGCTGCATTGCTGGAGCTTGGACTTAACAGGAAGGCAGAAATCTCCTCTGTGCTAACTCTCTGCATCACAGACAAGACTCGTTTTCTGTCCTTCTATTCTCATTCTTCAGTTGCAGTTACAAAAGAGAAGGTTTGATAATCAAGGGAACGAAAACAACTAAGCTGCAGCTTTTCAGCAACACTCCTAAGTTTTACCTGAAGAATGTCTGTGCTTTTGAAAAAGAATAAATTTATCTAGAGTCTAGATTTACCAATAAATTTAGATAAACCAGGTTTGGCTGCCTTGCCTAATGGGGTCTCCTCATACATAATAAGGCTATTTGTCATACCCTTGATAACCTAACCTTTGTTAACTGCTTGGAAACTATCAACAGAGAAGTCAGAGGCTTTGTTGTAACCAGGATACCTTCTTGCCAGCTCCTGCTTTATCCATTACTAAATTGCTAAGCAAAAAAATAAGTAAAGAAGGAATTGTTTAAACTCATTATCAGAATTAAATGCTGTTTAGTAACAAAGCCCAAAAAAAAAAAAAAAAAAAAAAAAAAGACTAGAAATTAGAAAAATCTTATTTCCTTCCTTAAATATTGTGGCAAACATTGCCAGAGGGGTAATGCAACTTGATTCTATGAATGGTGTTTCCACAACATTTTTCATGTTCTTTTTTACATAACATGGTTCAAATTCAAGCAAACCATTAATATTTTAGCAAGAGGTAGAAGTGTTTGGACGTGGAGGAACTGAAACTTCTAAGGCTTCGATGAGATGATTTGATGAACTTTCTTTTTGTTTTAACTCTGCTCAAATCCAGTTTGCTTTTGTTTGTTTGTTTTAATTTTAGGTTTTCTAAATAATACATAAAATGTCCTTTACAATTTTGCTGTGGTGCAAATAAAGCAGTAATAACCCTGTAAGGAAGCACAAATTTAAAAAAATAAATTAACTACATGAACTTCTTAATTGTGAAAATGTGTGAAAGTTTTCATTCCTAGGAAGTCAACACTTCATCAGGGCCTTGTTTAGGTATACTTGGGATAACAACTGGGTAGATCTTTGGCAGTGACAGAAGATTAGTCCTGTGCTGTAAATGGTTTCAACTTTAAGTTGATACGTTAAATCATTAATCTTCTAGATGTAAGTGAGCCTGACATAATTAAGTTATCTTAATCCCTAGAGATTTTAGCTTTCACTAAATGTCTGAGCACTGAACTAGTTAACATGGAGCAATCACAACTGCTTATAGTGTCAAGTTTATTCAGAGAGTTTTGGGGGTTTTGCTTCTCTGGCACTTTTTTTTTTTTTCTATGTGACACTTGCACTGAAAGCTGCATCTGCTTATGTTTGTTTTTTTTATACAGCTGTTAGAGACATATAGGAGAGTATTAAAATGTCTTACTAAGCTATTTCTTCTTGCCAACAGTAATATGAACTCTGCTTACATGAGGCTGCTTCGGTCCATCCAGAGGATCATCTCCCAGGAAGGGTTTGATGGCTCTGATCCCCAGGTACCAAAAACCTTCATACACTTTATATAATCCTATAATTTATGTTTTCTGGATTTTCAAGAGTGACACAAGAAGGTCTTGTTATAACTTATGTTATCTGGGTTTTCAAGAGTGACACAAGAAGGTCTTGGGCACATTAACAAGGAACTGTTTCTAAGCACTGCTAAAGGAAAGCAAAATAAATAGTGTTGTTCATATTTTAATGTGGTTTTGGAGATTTTTCTCCATTACAGATACACAGACCATGTGAGAAAGAACTGTAAAACAGGATCAGTTCTGTGCAATTAGCTAATGAGTGGATTGCCAAATGTAATGTAGTTAAACACAGTATTTTTATTTTTTTTTCAAATCTTTGCTTTGGCAATAATGTTCTCAAGACTCTTGGGGCTGAACATTTATTCTTAAACTCTCAGGTTATTTCAGTGCTGCTTTAACTGGAAAGGAGTGACATTTTTTATTCATTAAATGGTGGCAACTTTATCTAGTGAGCATTGAAACACTAGTAAAGAAATAAAAATGCTGTTTCAACAATCAAAACAGCTTCTCAGACTTCTAAAGATCTCTGGACCCTTCACAAATCATACTGGGGTAATCCAAAGCATTTTCAGTGTAGCAACATAGGCTGAAAGCCTTTTTCTACTTTGAACAGGGTTATTCTTTGTTACATCCAGTAACATGTCAGTCCTTTGGAGCTGAGGGAAATAAAATGATCAATTACATATCTTGATGCTTAATTGATAGATAATTATTGTTGTACAATAGAAATGTTACTACAGTAGAAGTCGATTAGTGTAGATGCTGGAGAGCCTGAAAGAATTAAATACAACACTGTGTGCCAGTTGAGTATCCTTTTTGTAGGGAAGATAATGTTGGGAAGGATGTTTTCCTGCCTAACAGTATGTTTTAGGAACACTACCCACACAGACCACTCGTGTGGAAATGGAGGTTATTTGTGCTCCGTGTTTAGTCTCTGCTGAGATTTCTGGGAGAGCTTGTCTTCCCTTTGGTGGCAGTGCCAGTCTGGAGCAGGGAGTCCTGACAGGCTCCTCTCCCCACTGCTGTGGTAGCCATGGCAACAGCCATGTATGTCATCCTCCTGCACAGCACCAGCCAGGGATGCTCCTCCTGTTCCCTGACAGGTCCTGAGGAAGCCCCAGAGCTTGTCTGCTGCAAAGAGCAGCCCTGAGTGAAACAAACACCCTGCCAACCTTCAGCCAGCAAACCTCCTCCTTCTGAAGAGACCAGGCTGCTATTTCTTATTGTCCTTTTTATATTCTTTATTTTTTTTTTTGCATGTAAAAGAAAATTGAGGTTGTTCAGAGCCAATATTTTGAGTTTTCTTGCTTGCAAGCAGGGAAAAACTAAACATCACAGATCACTCTGCTTGTTGTTGATTGTTTCAAAATGCCTGACTAGTATCAATAAACAAAACCAGAGCTTCAACTCAGATGAATCTACAAATATATGGTTGCTAAATGACACATAAAAGTTTCTGAGGTGAAGCCTGAAAAGTTAACAAAGTCCTTTTTCAGGCCAGTTTGTTGATCCAGAGAGCCATCAGCATTTCCATAGTTCTGTCTGTTTCAAGGGAGGTAAGGCACATAGTTTCCTGAAGTGTTTTCTATTAATTTCTTTTAAGATTCCTCTCTTCCCCATATATCATCTTTGTTTGCACACCCAAATTTTGTACATCTAAAAGTCTTGAATAAGACACACTTCTTAAAAATATGTGCAGAGCTGAGTGTAGTTATGGCCCTGAACACACGTTGGATCTTTTTAACTTCCAAATATATGAGCAATTTGCCTCTCTGCTACTTGATATCTACTGAGCCTTGAGAAGTACTTTATAAGTAGACAGATATGAAGAGTGTGGAGTGAGGACCAGCCTGTGTTCTTCTAGACCTGTGTCCTTTCCCATATGTAACCATCAGAGCTTCTGACCTGGTGTTTCCTCTCTGTGTGTTGTTCTTATGGATGTTCTTCATAAGAAAAAATACTTTTCTCAGTTAAAAATGCTTTATGTGTAGTGTTAGAAGTAAAATTTATGTATGTTTGCTCTCAGATTTTGAAGTAGTGTAGCACTTTTTCTGTATGGTCAATATCCTTATTGAGATGAAATACTTTTCTTGTGTATATTCAATCAAGTGCTTGACTTTTGTCCTGTTGGTTAATAAATGCACATCAAGAGTTGCCCAATTAGAAATAATTAAAGAATATTAGATTAACTTCTATTTTTCCTAATTTTTTTCAAAATCTGAACATCTAAGCCTTGCAAATACTACACAGAGAGGTCAGATTGTGTTGTATTATCCTGCACAACTGTCCTGATCTTCATACAGTAGCATACAAAGTTAACTTTTCCTAACTAAACCTAAAAGCCTGCAAAGCCCAAACCCCAAGAATCTGCCAGAGTTAAAACATAGATTGCTTTCACAGAGGCTGGAAGAGAATTGGCAGCTCAGCTCACTGTGTAAGCCATGGAAGTTGGATAAGTGCAGAGCCATGTGGCACTAACTGTGTCTCACAACTCGGGCTCTGTCTACCCAATATGGATAGGAAGTATTTGGAAGAGTAGCCTCTTGTCATGTCAAAACCTTTCCTCTGGATTTCCAGAGCAGCTGTGCAATGTTTTGTGCTGGATAAGTTGCTGTTCATTGCAGCTGGTGGAAATGAATATCTGCAGTTTATCAAACCACTGTTTGGTTTTTTTTAATGAAAACTGCCTGGAAGCTTTTATTTATCAAAACTAGTATTTCAATAGACATGTGTGTGTGTGTAACTAAAACAAGCTGGCCTTTAAGTATGAATGCTGACCTCTAGAAATGTTTCTTTGAGCACCTTCTGCAGGAAGTCTTCCAACAAGGGAGCTCATTGTCTCTCTCTCTGCTGTTGATAGCAAATATACCTAAAATCCTTCTCAAAGGTCACCAGGAAAGGTCACATCAAATAAGCAGAAAGGAGATTTGTCATCACAAGAGATAACATTTTACTCTAAATAAACAAATTACCACTGTGGCTTCGTAATCTGTCCCTTCAGAAAAGGAGCTTTATCTTTAGCCTCTTCTGCCAGCAAAAAGTCCTTGGGTAGGTAACACATGAGACTGTTTAGGTTTTATATGTCAGAGCAGCTTAGATTCTAGTACCCAGTAGCTAACTCCAGCAGGTCCAGAAACACTTGTGTCAAGGACTTTGAGCAAGGTGTGGTCCTTAAGAGACAATCTGCTGATGTCTCCATCAGACACTGTTTTCCATAGCTGTGGATACACCTTCCCTCCTGTGCTAGAAGGAGTTGAAAGCAGGTGATGCTTAGAGACTCCTAAGCCAGTGAAAGGCTTGTGCATTGGAGAGGTGAACCACTGATCTTGTCCATTTAGAGGCAGCAGAAGTGAGACTGAAACAAATGGTCAGAACAGTCAGGGTAGGAAATGTGAAAATAGGGGGAAATGTGGTCAGTTCCTCTCAGGCACTTCCAGCAGACCAGAACTGAGAGTGAATACACTTTTGTGTGTTTTTTAAGGCACTGATGGAGGAGAGAAAGGACATGAAATGTAGTATTGTATTATTATTGCTATTATTAGTATATATATTATTAGTACATGTATTATTAGTATTGTAGTATTATTGGATTTTGTGTCAGAATACATTGAGGTGGTTAAAAATGCAATGGCCAATCTTTGGTGTTTCTTTCATTTGTGCTTATCTGGCATAGCATGATATCCACTCAGTGAAAAAAATTCCATTCCTTGTGTAATTTGTGCAAGATCAACTGATCCCATATACTATGCAATTAATATGGGTATGTAGTCTAGAAACTGTATCGTCCCTAATGTTTAAAAAATGACAAATGATTTTTTTATTTCACTAGAAGCAGAAGAATGTGCTGCGGATCGGGATTCAGGGTCTGGGCTCCATGCTCTGGGGAGACGACGTTGGCTGCAGTGATTCTCCTCAGGATCCTCACAGCCTGACAAAATTCCTCTATGTTCTCCGTGGCCTCCTCAGAAAGTCTCTGTCAGCCTGCATCATCACAGTGCCAGCTCACCTTAGCCAGGTAGGAATGCTGACTTCAGATTTTTGTGAACCGATGTGTTGGCTCTGAAACGCAGCAAAGTTTAAACAAACACAATTTTGGATATTTTCAAAAGCCTTTTGGTTCAAATAGTGAAGTGTAAACCTAACTATATGTTATGCTTTATATATTTGTTGGACAGTCATGCTGCAAAATCTACAAAGGCCTAAGTATAAAATTATCTTAGGTACAGTTATGCCATATTTGGGTCTTAGCCCTTTGAGAAACTATCCAAATTTCCAAAAAAGCAGAGAGCACTGATAGTAATCTTTGGATTATTTTTAATATGCACTTTTCCAGTGCCTTCAGAATGCTGTGTAGAGTTTTAAGACTTTTCAGTCCACTCTCTTCACCTGTCATGCTCATTGTGATGCTATCTGATCTTGTTTTCAAAGCCAGGAATTGAAGGGGACAGGTTTACTCTCTAATTCCAGTATCCCCTTGTACTGGGACTGGGAGCAAACCAGTTATGGTACCAGAGTCATTTTCCCAATTGCAAAACCAGAAGCAGCTAGCAAAACCTTTCCTGAAAGTATGTGGAGACTTAAATGTGTCTTCTGAAAATAAACTTCTTTAGCAAAAGGAAAAATGCAGATATTCTTTTGTTCTGTGAGTGCTAATGTAACTTACAAAAGCAAAATCATTATTCACAGTGAACAGGGAACCTATAATTTTAGGTAGATTTGATTATAGTAAAAAACTACTGGATACAACCTCATATTATGCAAAATGTTTTCATAGTAGATGAGTTTATCAATAGATTAAATCCTATCTTAGGTAGGTACATGACTCACATGTAGTGCATTTTGTAAAGCTGTTTGAATACCTGCAAATGTTATTTATCTAGATAACCAATGCACTTACTGCCTTGGAAATAAAGAAACTTGATTTTCTGGTTTTACCATTGTAGTCAGAGTCCTGCAGTGCATATCTCCATCTCCTTCCTTAGCTGTTTTGAAGTCTTAGGTGGCAGTTTAAATTTAATGCAAGGAGTGTAAAACTACCATCCTACTTTTTACACCCTGGAATTGCCTGTCCATAACTGGGACATCCAACTCATTTCCTTGTGCTCTGCTTTATATGTCATGTCAATAAAAGTTGTGCTCATATTTTAGAGAGATCCAGAAATGTCTTTAAGAAACAAACTGAAGGGTGGAAGTTTTTTGTTTGCTTCAAACTTACCTGGGAAATTGACTTTTGTTTAGTGTTTGTCAATTCCGTGTGAATCGATTCCAATGGAGTTAGGATTGGAATTACAGCTTGTTTTTTAAGTAGCTGATTTTTTTCATTTTAAGAAAATTGTTTTACAGGAGGTAATATTCTAAATTAACCAAAAAGAGGAACGTTATTTACAGAACCTTTAATTAGAAACCTAAAACAAACAAGAGCATTAATTTGTTTTCATTTTTGGGGGGGGGGGGATTGTCAAAACTCATGTGGACTGCACTGTGGAGCAAACTGTCATTAGGAGGAGCAAAGCTGCTGAGGGTTCCTTATAGCCCACATTACTCAGTTCCCAGAGCCCTGCTGTGTAGTTGTTGCACTCTCCAAGAAGCCTGTTAAAGAGCCCCTGAGAGCATGTGTACAGCCCTCCATGCTAATAGTTAATTGGTGAGGATGGCGAGATGAGAGGACAGCAGAACATGTGGTCCCTCGGGCTCGAGCCCGAGACAGACCTCTAGTTATAATAACAGCAGCTGCTCACATTCTCACAGCCCAGCTCCTCACCATTCTGTTGCTGAGGTTTCTTGCTGGATTAAAAAAAAAAAAAAAAGATCAAGAAAATATCTTTTCTTTCCAAGAGAACAAGAGAAAGGGATTTTTATTTTTTTTCCCCCCCCATTTCCGTATATGTATTTAATTCAATCGGAATAAGTTCTAGCTCTGCTTTCTCTGTTGGAGCTGAAAGGCAGAAGGCATAGAAAATACACACTTTTCTGAAGATATAGTAAATTTCACATTCTTTTTTTACTCCCTAAACTATTGTTTCTGTATTTCCTATGTTGTCTTTTGCCTCCTAACTGGATTAATTGGATAGTCTACAAGGAAATTCTTCACACTAATAATTTCCATGCAGGACATAGAAGTTCAAAATCACATTTTAATCAAACAAATGTGGCATATACAGAAAACTAGTGTCATTTTTACCTGCTTTGTTGTGAAAAACTAGATTTTTTAGTGGTCACTCATAACACATCTTGTCTCTGCTCCCAGTGCTAGTTCCTCCAGGGAAGAAGAAATAAAACTCACAATTGGTTGGTGCTGATTTTCAGCAAGGAGAGTGTCTTTTCAACCCTGACTAGTTCTGGTTTTTATATGTAGTTTTTGAGTAATGCACACACACACAGATATATGTATATGTATATATACATATATATGTATATTTATATAATTTGGGATTGTTTTCTTTTAGGTATTTTGCCAAATACTTTGCATGTTGTACTGTGACAAGGAGCTCCACAAATTCAATCTACCCAGTTTCTTTCTTTTGCAGAAACTTGAATTTTGCCTTTACTTTTCATGTCTTCTGTCTTTGTTCTTGGCTGCTGAGACATTAAAATGATGCTCCCTATTTTACATTTTCTGTCTTCTGGTTTGTAATTTTCCTCGTGTTCCTCCTGAATCTGTTTTTAGACAGTCACTTTATCCCTGTTACTGTAACATAATACAGTAATGTTATTGTTTGTTCACTTTTCCTACCTTCTAGTGCCTGGTTTGACTCTTTGGTGCTACTGAACAGTAGGCAGTGATTTTGTTCTTGATGTTTTTCCCTCTGTGATACACATCCACTCATGTGGCCCTTTCATTATTCCAACAATTCTTTGTCTTGGATTTGAGAAGTTTGAATTGCATTTATCCAAAGGTGATGCTCATGCTTCGATGGGACACTCAATGTCCTCAGAGCCTTCTGTAAGGATATATTTGGATAAAAGACACAAATTTGCAAAAAAAAACAAGCAAAAAAAATCTGGTTGTGTGCAGAGCTTTTTCAGAGCAATCTCAAGGAATTGTAGTCCACTAAAGCTCTAAGATTCTTTGTGTTTTATTGATGAAACTTCTAGTGTGAACAGTGCATGAAGAAAAAAATTTCTTTTTTTTTTTAACCCCGAAAGTAGAAATACATTATTCTGGAAGAGGATTTCAAGGAAATGGCACAAAAAACCTTATCCAATTATGAATTTTATTCAGATGATATGTGACAAGTTTTACTTGATTGATATTTTCTACCGATTGAACATACTCTGATCTTACACTGTCTGTCAGGTAATAAATATTGAGCTACTTACAAGTATGATTAAAAGAGTTGATGGAAGGTTATTTTTCAAGTCTTTCTGCTGCTTCAGGAAAATGCATTGTGCCATTTGAAAAGGGAAAATTGCTTTCACTTTTAAAATCTAGCATTGATCCGGGAGGGCAGATCAGAAAAGGATTGGATTTGTCCTTACAATTTCCAAATTTAAGGAGTATTGTAAAAGCAAATAAGGATCCTTCTGTGTGTTGTTAATCTGTGTTTTAATACCTAAGTTGAGAAAACAAATGACTGTGTTGTCATATGACTTGAAAGACTTTAATATCACTAGTTTATGCTGCAAAAGCCTTAATGAGAATTGAAAATATTTTCCTGTTGTTTTGCCTTTAGTAGAAATTATTGGTAGATCCAAACACATCTTTCTCTTAAGATAGTCTGTTCCTGTTCCTGCCAATTTTGTATTGCTTCAGGAATTTTTTTTTTTGGTGGGTTATTTTCACTGGGGGAAAGCACAGCACTTGTTAAATCCTTCCTTTCTTTTTGGAGCTGTGTTACTGGTAAGGACTAACAACCATATTAGTCAGCATGTGCCAAGGGAAATGAAGTGACTAACGAAGAGTCAGTCTGAATAACTCTTGCTGCACACCCTGTCCTCAGAGTCTGGAGTTCTGTTCAGCAAGGTATTGTCATTATTTCATCCAGAACGGTAAAAAATTAATTTCCTACAATATTAATGTTTTGATGTTTTGCATTCCCTCGAGTGCCTAAGGTACTGGATGTTTCAGTGTAGAAAAAATTTCACATCCAGAGCCTCTTGTGTTGGTCCTGAGTAATTTAGCAGCTAAACTCGAAGTCAGGCAATGGAGTGTTTCCAATCCATTGCTGCTGTAGGATTATAAACTGGGAGCTCCTATAGCTGAGACTTTCTCACAGTTTGAAATCTTGATTCCTGTGACGAGCTGAGAGTGATCACCTACCCTAGAGCTCTAACTTCTGAGAGTTCACGCGTGTAAAATGCTGAATAACCTTCCAATGTGTTTGGTGAGGAAACCTCTGCACAGAGATTTGTGTTGAGATCAAATGGCACGTGGTTTCTAAATCATGATTAGGGAAGCTTTCCAAGCTGCCTGTGAAATAGAAACTGTGAAGATGAAATGGTCTTAATATTTTTCTATATTGGGATTTTTTTTTCTTGCTTTTTAATGGTGCATGTTGCTTTTTGTTGTGTGTGGGAAATACAGTTTAACAACTGTGCAAATAAGTACTGAGAGTCCTAAGGTTATGACAGGTATTCTTGGGTTATCCACATAGTTTTCAGATATGAATATTCTGGTTTTTAGACATTCATAAAAGCATCTTTAAAATTCTGACTGAGCAGGAAGCTCAGAGTGCTATTCAAAAGTTACATTGTGGGACAGTAAGAATTTTGTTTTAATTTCTCTGGTTGTTGACAGTATTTGCTAATAAAGTTGTAGAAGAAATAGAAATATTGTTTCATAAAACAGGTTTATGGCTGCCCACAGACTGTGTTCTAGTGCTGTCACTTCTGGTGTGGCAACAATTCCCCATTTCAAAAACAAGTGCAGTGTACCATGTTTCCCTATCCACATGTTAGTTATCTTTTAGCTGCAATAATTGTGATGAACAGTCACACTGTGTGTTAAAGTCCATGCCTAGAGCAGCTTTCTCATTTCAGTATCTTTTACTTTTCAGAAGGACACTGGAGACATCC